TTCATATTGTTTTTCACATCTCTTGCATTGGACTAAACCAGTAATGGTTTCTATTTTTCTTGACAGTAAATAGTCCAAGCTATGCACCATGGCGCGACGATCCATAGCCCAAGGGTACAAGACAGGGACAGTTTCCGCTTTCCCTTCGCGGGGACCCTGAGAAGGGTTCCTGCGTGTGCGAGGAGCGCGAGATGGACCAGCCATGGAAGTTTCTTGATTTATTGGAGCAGTAGTGTATAACAATGGTTCAGTCACAGGAATATCAGCGAATAGGGCATGTGAAGGAGATAGTTGAAGAGGGGTGAGAGGCCTTGGTGTCATCTGGGGTTCTGGGATTTCAATTTGTGGGATTTCTTGATGGTGGGGTAATGGTTGAGGTTGTGATAATGATGTTACAGGAGGTGGCAATGACAATGATAACTGTGGTTTTGTGGGGTTTAAGGTGGTTTTCTTCCTGGATCTTGGAGGACCAAAAGATAGAGAAAGTGTAAGATCAAAATCTTTTTCATCTTCATGAACATCTTGCCTCTTATTTGGGCTATTGCTGTTGTTATTGTTGTAATTACCGCTGTGCTTTCTCTTAGTAGAGATCTCTTGCTTATTGGTTTCTAAATCTTCTCGGTTCTTCATGGTGTGTGAGTAGAGAAGAGAATGAGAAATGTTTTTTATGCAAGAAGAGAGAAAATGGAGACAGATGGGTGCGAAAAGGACCCTAAAAATTGGAGATAGAGATGTAGAAACAGAATATATACGAATAGGGGCATGATAAAATTTCTTTCAAAATTTGAAATGTAAAAGAAAAAAAAAAAGGTACTATTCAGATTCTATTTTTTCTTTGTTTGTTATAGAGTTTGTTACAACTTTTTTCCTCCTACAAGGTTACCTTTTTGATTAGGTCTTTTTCACTCTTTTACAGCAAGTCGGTGACTCCTGGTGGTGCCTGTTGAGGAGGAATCGCAGATGTCCAAGTCTACGCTATAACCTTGTTTAAGTTGGCATGACCTTATTGGTCTATGTAGGAATATTAATTTCATTTGCAAGAGGAGATTACGCTCATTTGAGAGAATATAGAGAGATAACTAATAGAGGAGAGAGAGATAAGTCTTATCTCTTTCTTAAATTTCTGTTTTATCAAAATGTTTTCATAAATATCCCTTAGGCTCCCATAATGTCCCAAGTCACGTAATTTCGCGTGTAATCATGTACACAAAAAAACACACTGGCGAGCATAAATATAGAAATTAAATGCTGTTTTTCCCGACTCCCGAGTCAGGTATGGTTAATTTGGTGTGTTGGAAAAACGATGAAGGGATCTTAGACTGCTGGTGCTGGGGTAATTATCAACCAAAAAGTTAAATATAAAAAATAAAAAATAAAAACCCAAGTCGTTAAAAAAAAAAAAAAAAGGTTAAAACCCAAGTAGTAGTCTCTTGGACTGACGGTAAGAACAGCTGACTCATCTTTTATGGACTGACAAAACCTGGTAAGGACCAACAGGCGAATTTTTACACCATCTTTGATCTCTTACAATATGGACAAGGGATCTGTAATGTTTTGTACAATCAAAGTTGCAGGGCATTCTATACATGGTCACAGAAAGGAAAACGTAAGAAACTAGAGAATAGATGCAAAAACTTATCGCAGGAAAAATAAAAATTGCAAGGAACTATATTATGTGTCCATTCCATCTTAACGCAGCTGAAAAGAGAACCTCCTAGCCAGGCCATTGGTTTGCCTCAAATTGCTAATCGATTGATGGCACTGTGATCTAGTCCCTAAACACTAACAAAAAAAATAATCGACATAACAAACAGTTATGCATAAGGTATATTACCCTAACAACCCATGAGAAACAAAAGGCACAACAAATATTCAATTTTTTTTTCAGTTTCTGTCCATTTCAGTTATGGTTTGATATCTAAAAGATTTTCTATTTTATTAAAAAATATGCAAGTACAGTGGCTTGCATGAAGTGAGAACAATATATTTTTTTTTGCGTAAATATAGAACATATAAAGCTAAATGCTGTCTTTTCCAATGCATGTATATACATATAGGTGTCTTTGAGAAAATTACGAAGGGTTGGAATTGAAAACGATCTTGATTTGACTACCAGACAAAATCTTCTCATCAAAATACGAATTACTATTTTTAAGTCTTTTTTCTCCCTTTTGTTTCAAGACTTGTAAGTGGTAACCACGAGTTAGAAAAAAGAAAAAAAAATGTAGTACTGAATACAAAAATAAGATTAAGTAAAAAAAAGTTCAGTTGTAGTTTCTTGGACTATTTGTAAATTCCGGCGATACATATACATGAACCTCGCATTTGTTGCAAGGACAATGAATTGCATTAGTACAGCACCATACCCTAGCAATATAGAGGTAGGAACGAGTGATATTTCCTGAATGCAAACTGCAAAGTTGCAAAAACTAATCATAAAAACAAATTTTTATATTTACTATTTCAAAAAAAAAAAAAACTAGCTCATTGATCATTTCATTGTACATGCACATGCATTAATGGCTGTATTTTACCATAAGCAATCACACACACATATCGAAAAATTAAAATCAAGTTAAATAATTTATTAATTTTATCTTAAATTTAAAATAGAATAGAACATGTTATACCGATCATTTTTAAAATTTGATAAAATAACACGCATTACAAAATTATTCAAAGTGAAAAATTACAAAAACTCCCACCACCACTAAACACTTCAAAATAGTTTTTTCATCAAATTTCATTCATTGAAAATCTCAAAGAATTTAAATTCAATTATTACTTCTTCTTCGTCATCTTTTTTTTTTTTTTTTTTTTGGGTTGCCTAAAAACAAATTTTAGGGAGCACTTCACTATAGCTAAAGGAAATCATGTAATAGGCCATCTAAAAATGTTTTGGCCCACTAAAGCCTGAACCCAATCCAACCCAACCCAATTTTCTAAAGGATTACAGTGGGCCCAAATTTAAACAACACAGACAAAAACAGAACGAGAGAGAGCCATAAACAGCAAGAAATCGACCGATCGATCCACCCATCAAAATTCCGGCGACCGTTAAGGTAATTCATCTTCTTTGGCTTTTAAGCTTTTGGTATCTAATTAATTAATTGATTGATTGGTGGATTATCATTTACTTAATTATATAATTTTATACTTTTATTACTTGTTAGACCTAGAAATTGAAATTACACTAGATTATCCCGTAAATTTGAAAATCATAACTTCATAATTCAAATTAAAAGCAATACAATTTTGTTTCCCTTTTTTTTAGTAATTGTAAAATTCAATAGAAGAATCGTGAGATTTTGGCGATGGACAACATCGTAGACTCGTTAAACAACGCGTACCAAGATTTCGTCGGCGCGGCAGCTAATGTGTTAGAAGCCAAGGAGTTATCCAGCGGGCAGAAAACAGCGGCAACGGACGCTGCATTGGAGAATTTTAAGCAGAAGTGGGAATTATTTAGAGTTTCATGTGATCAAGCGGAGGAGTTTGTGGAGTCCGTGAAGCAAAGGATAGGATCGGAGTGTTTGGTGGATGAGGCTACTGGGTCTGTGAGTGGGAAATCAGGGCAGGGTGGAGCCACGGGGCTTCCTCCTATTAGCGCTGTTCGGTTGGAGCAGATGAGTAAGGCTGTGAGATGGCTTGTTATTGAATTGCAGCATGGTTCAGGTGCTGCTGGCGGTTCGGCAGGGCATGCACACCCATCGGCACCTTTTGATGCTAGGTTTACTGAGGATGCTGCTCAATAGGTACGTTCGCCTGCAATAATATGAACTATTTAAGTTAGTGTTTTTGATGTACTGGATTATTGAGCATGGTTGTTAGGACATTGCTCATAGTTTCCCAGGATAGCAATTGTCAATAGTGTGAAGGAGATTCCTTCATTACCTTATCAACAAATGCATTTGTATAAAATTTATTACTGCTGTCTCTTAATCCGAATTCAATTGTTCAGAACTTTGTTTCTTAGATGTTCGTGTGCTGGGGCTTCTATGAACTGCAATTTGAACACACTGGGGATTTTGTAATAGCTTGCCTTTGATCTATCATTATTTTTTCTAGAACAATTACTCTTGCTACTGAAAGTGCTAATTATGGTATCTCTCTAATAATCTCGGCCATGCAAATAAAAGGTTGGGATATGATTGAACTGCTATGTGATGTTTGGTGTGAAGAAACGGGAGGGGAAGGGAATGTTTCTAAAAATATTCTTGTTTTTTCTTGCCTCTGGTTTGTGAGGCTGTTTTATGATGTATATTTTTTTTAATGTCTTCCTCGTTATGAAGTTCAGGTAAACAATGCTTTTGATCGAGTTAAGGGAAGCTGGAGCTGCAAGTTTTCCTCCTTTGCTTGCTTCCATTAGGGATGCTGATATGATTGCAGAGGTGAACCTTGAAGGATGTGTTTGACTAGGGGGCTCTGGTGGAGAAACCAGTTATCATATATAAATGGCTATAGCAAGTTCGTGCTTCAGTGTGGAGTAAATGCTTGTCTTCGCAAAGAATTTTGACTGATCCTCTAGTTGGGCTCCTGCTTGCGAAGAAGTTTGATAGGAATTGAATGATCATTGCATGAATCGAATCATTGCATTTTGATTCATTTATTTATATTTAAGAAATTTTCAAAATTGGCAAAAGTAATTAAACGTCTGAACATGCTGGTTCAATCCATTTCAGCTATGAGTTGCAGGATTTTCTTATGGTGTCTTAGGAGGTTCTTTCTGGTGAATTGATGATCTCAGTTCTCCCCATCCTTTCTTTTCTTTTTTCGGCGAGTAGGCTCTACAGTTCCCGCTTATTTTAATTAGCAGATGATATGGCTATGTCGATCAATGCCTTAGGCTCCATTTTTTTTCTTTTCTGGATATGAGTACATCGGTTGAAGAATCATGTATCAAGAATTGCCTGACATGCATTATTCCGCTCTAGTTTCAGTTTTATGGATTCCACTAAAATCTGAACAAAAATTATGTAGTTGTAACAGGAACCCTGAAAATGTTTTCTTTGGTTCACGAGCTTGCGCGAAATACTAATTACAAAGAAATCAAAACCGGTACAAAATTGATTCAAATCCCGCCTTTTTCAGTTAATGGCTGCTCTTTTATGGTACTGCGCAACTTCCTCTACGGGGACACGTATCACGAAATTCCCATGGTTGTTAGTATACTTTTGACCCCCAAAACAAACGCCCCACGCCCAGCAATCGTGTGCTATGATCTATCATCCTTGAAGTGTTGGCTTATGTTCTCTTGTTTTCCGTGGTTGTGGTTCTCTGCATACGTTTTCCTTAGGGTTTTGAACCCATGAAAAAGTTATGAACAAGACATTTTTTTGTTCTCTCTTACAAAGAGATTTAACGAATTTGGAATACACAATGGGAGAGGCAGCCCTCTCCATTCCTTTTTTAATATTATTATTATTATTTTCTTTTATGTGCCTGTGAATATATATATATATATATATATATTTAACAAAAATATGGATCCCACCATATAAGTATTTCATAAATTTTTTTTTTTATCAAAAAATCTATTCAATCATTACATAATAATTAAATACTTTTCGTGTATAAGACTCTGACTGACTGAGTGTGTGTGTATATATATATAAAATAATAATTTCTCTTTCTTGTTAAGTTTGATAGAAAAACACCGACAGAAAAAGAATGTTATAAATATCAACCCAACGGTGCAACGACACTTCGCTTTTAGACTCTATCATCTCCATTAACCGAAAACAAACTACTTGTCGTCTCCCAATTCAGGCCAGACAAAGGGTATTGCTTGTTTCACTGAAAAAGAAGGCAACCTTTTTTTCTGGAATCTCCCTTTTTGCCTTTTAATTTTGTAATTTGTAAGTGGATTCTTTACATGGCTCTTGCTTTTCATGTGTTTTTATTTGTATATGCATGTGTTTACATGCTTTTATATTGCTTCTTCAATACTGAAAATTGATGTTATTTTTTTTTTTAGTATATTAATGGACTTGGAAGATGAAGTGCGGAGAGTTAACTGTTTGATTGATCAGGCAAGTTTCATTAGCTACCATTGATTTCTTGGGCTCGTTTTGTTGTCGAAGAAGTGATATTCAATTGTTTTTGCATCTGACGTTTAGAGCTTTCAACATTTTTTGGTATATGATCGTCATATTCCATTATTTCTGGTTCATTTGTTGTGTTTTTTTTATTAATGTTAAAGTAGATATTCATTGTGGGTTTTGGTGCAGATTGGAAATTTTGGGCTTCGACTAGTTTGGCATTTTATACATTTTCTTGTAAAATTTTGGTATCTTGGAGTTCGTGTTTCTAATTTGATTGAGAGCTACTTAATCTCTAGTGGATTACTTAAGCGTTACAAAGCTATCGATGTTGGCCAGCTCCGGTATCTTGCAATTGTGGTAGACAGTGATGATGCTTGCCAAATTTCTAAAGTTATTCAGCTTTTGCAATGGTTGGAAGCTATTGGTGTCAAACATTTATGCCTCTATGACCCGGAAGGTAAGTTTGCTGGATGCCTCCTGAAACTGATTAATCTAGTATGTTCCTGTTATGATTGATTCTAACAATACGAAAAACTACATGCAACTCTTTGGATTTTTGAAAGATTTTGACGTTGAATATTCATTTTTTTCTAGGAGTGCTCAAGAAATCCAAGGAATCCATCTTAGTGAAGTTCAAAAATGCAACATCATTCGAGGTAGCATCTTCTATCTGAATGGTGATGGTGCATTGGTTTTTCTTTGCTGTTATTTACGGGCAGAATTCATTCTCATGAGTGAGCCTATTTGCCTGGTACTTGATTATGATCGGGGCGCATTTTTAAGTACTGATTAAACTGACCTTTAGTTCAATGAAAGATTCATTTGTGGTGTAATAGGATTACTTGAGTAGGGATGGCCTGGATAAATTCTGTTCAACAAATTATGGTTGAAACCTTAACAAAGTTATATCCAGTCTTAATTGCTATTCTTGGTTTCATTTGAATTATATGCAATGAGCAGTCACAGTGGGATGTCAGTGGCAAGGCCAGTTCTCACTCAACTTGTTATCCACTTTTTTCAGGAAGCTGATGAAAAAGGTTTGCTACTGGACCAGAAACACATGACTCTAGAATTTGCTTCAATCTCTGATGGAAAGGAAGCAGTGGCTAAGGCGGGTAATGAAATTTTCATGAAGCACTTGAAGTTGGCTAACACTGGTGCAGAACTAAAAGAACAGATATTCACTGAGGCTAACATGGGCGAGGCATTGAGAGCTGTAGGTTTGTTCTATTTCCTGATCTGCTGAATCGTTAAGGAGTTGATTTCCTTTCAGATATAAATCTTACAAATATTGGCTGTTGATGTCCTTGAATTATCAGGTTGTGGAGGGCCAGATCCTGACCTGCTATTAGTTTATGGACCAGCAAGATGCCATTTAGGTTTCCCCGCGTGGAGAATTCGATATACTGAGATAGTGTAAGTTTTTTGTGTCAATGAGGTAATCGAGATCTTAATTTGAAAATTGTAGATTGAATCAGTCATGTTTTGTATTTTGATTCATCTCTGCATGACTCTGGAGAATCTAGAAACAGCAGCAGACTTTCTTTTCTCGACACAGCATCTAGTTTCCTGCCTTCAGAAATTTATCAATTACTCGCACCACATATCGTGCCACTGCAAATCATGTGCTGCAAAGGCTTGTTTTGAATGGATTAAATTCTGGCTATTGTGTTACAGACATATGGGATCCTTGAAGTCCATGAGATACGGTTCCCTAGTAAAGGCCATTTACAAGTTCACCATGGTGCGGCAGAACTATGGTAAGTTTCTCTTTTGAGTCTGGCAATTGTTCTGGAAAATAAGTAGTGATCCGTTAAAGAGAACGAGAAGGTGAATTAGTGATATAATAACATCTATTTACACTTAAAATAACTTACTAAAATGGCAGTGACTGTTAGGAATTTCCACTAAAACAAAACCAGCGTGCATTGCTAGATTTATGAGACACCATCTTCTCTAGTTAACGTTGCTAATGATTTCGCAAATGTGGAATGTGGAGCTGAGTATAATGGTAATTGAATTTCAAATAAGTCGGTTTAAATTTGTCTGATTTCATTCCTGAACAGGAACATGAGCCTGCTACTTGGAGAGATTGTTGTATTGAATAACCGATGCAGAGGAGTGGGTGTGTGTCTGCCGATGCAGACTTTTATACTCTCATATGTAAGCGTGTTCTATTTGACTTGTAATATGCTAGTATTAATAAGCTTGGTATGACGAGGCTTCTTTCACCAATTTTCTTTTTTCTCATTCTCTAATGTAATCACAAACTTTTTTAAATTTGGGCACCAGGCGGAAAGTACTGTTAACTATAGGGAATTGAACGTGTACATTGCTTTCCTTTTTTGTGCTCGGTAGATGTTCTCAAGAACGAGAGCGAAATAAAGCAGTGTGATCGAGCATGTTACAGATACACCATTTGCCTAAGGACTCATAGATGGGCTGACTCAGTTTAGCTATCCCTCTGTGGAACTGTGACATATGCAATTCTCTTGTTCATGCTGATTCAAATAGAAGCCGTGTATTAAGATGTCATAACTAAAGAGCTATATATTACTTTGACAAACTTGCTATTTTGTAATGAACATAATCCGTGGGCCAACTGAGGCATCAGGTATGCATTAGCTCTCCAATACCTCGTGAGGAGGGAAATCCTGGACTTCTTTCATGTGGCCAAAGAACTGCATGGTTGGAAAAAATAGCCCTCTTGGAACAATTACCAAGTAGAATGTTGATAGGCTTACCTTGCACAGAAACTGAAGCATCCGAGTTTGTAAAATTAAAATTCTAGAATAATTGGCATTGAAATTACAAATTTCCCACTAAATCACAAATGCCAATAAAAAATGGAGGGCAACTAAATTCCACATCAAAACTATATCCAACTTTCCCACCACATTCAAGGATGTTGAGCGGATAGATCCTAGTTTAATATTCTGTTTCCAGGATGCCATCAATGAGCCCAAACTCCATTGCCTGCAACAAAATGGCAGCACAAGGAGCATGGTGATTACTAATTACATATGGTTTTCAAAATGCAAACAACTAATTAGCTGAGTGAAAAGCTAAGTCAACGAAATGGTTTGAAGCAGGTCATAATAAACTGCCAGGTGACATGCATACAAGATCATGTCTTCTTTAACTATCGTTTTTTATCCAATTATCACCATCAATTTTTAAGCAATCTAAACAAATGCATAGTGAAAAGTTATAAGAGTGATGCAGGCGGCACAAAAACATGAAAGAGTAGGTTAATCTAAGGTGGTTTCATATATAAGAATCCATACATAAGAATTTAAATAGGACAATCTGTTTTTCTTATCTTCTCTACAACAACATGTATGCATAAACACATACACAGAGACAGGTGTTAAAACAGGTTCTCACCAAGCACCGATGTCTGAGAACAGCTACTTCATATCAAAAAGGAAAAGGAAAAGAAATTGAGCCACATACCTCCGAAGTAGACAAGAAACGATCTCTCTCAGTGTATTGTTGTACTTTCTCAAGGGGTTGGCCAGTAAATGCAGCGTACATTTGGTCAATTTTCTGCACCAGAATTACCAGGGAAATAAGACTGCATTTTATGTAAGTTGAGCAATCTTCAATTTAAAAGTTCTGGAACTAGCAAACTGCATTAGGCTTTACGGGAACTGAAATGATCAGCAAGCAGGGCATAGAGGCTGGTTTTAATCTCAGAGCTCTAGAACAGCCTACAATGGATAATCTTTTTCCCTTGAACATGCAAGTTCTGGGACCTCTGGTAATAGATAAGTACTACATCAACATATGAACTAGCCCCCACCTCCAAAAAAAAAAAGAAGACAGCCCACTATATTGTGCTTGCAAAACAAGTCCATCAACTTGAGTCTGAACTTTAGCTTCAATAATATGCCCAGCAATGCTCAATATTAACTGAACAAAGAAACTCTTGGTTTCCAATCTTGTTTAACCATACTAATGGGAATTCAGCCATTAATTGGGTTTCAGCTTGGTGGTAAGTCAATCAAGATCAATGCAACTAAGTGGGAAATAGAGACTCACATGACGAGCTTGAACTGCTTCATTTACTTGCCGCCTCACATCCTCCACATGACCCTACAATCAAATTTTTGCAAATTGCATCAATGACTACTGCATATAATTCAGTGATATTTCATAGATCCAAGATTTTGGAACTGTTGCATTGTGAATGACTTATATTGTTGCAGTTTTTGCATTTTGGATTCTGCGCACGCACGCGCACACACACACACACAAAAAGTTCGTGCACCAGGATGCTACAAGGAAAGAGCAAGTTAAACAAGATAACAGAAACTTGAGGAATGAAAAGATGCACCAAATAGTACATATGCTTAAGCATGACTAGTTTTAGCTGTAGATATGAACTTATATGGTGTACGTACTGACAAAGATCACAATTCAGCTAGCCAGTAAAGAAGGACTCTCAAAAGCATTAATGAAATTTGGAAATTATTTCTCACCCCACAGCCACCCTGCGGTTGATGTATCATAATACGTGCATTAGGCATTGCATACCGCATTCCCTTCTCTCCACCAGAAAGAAGAAGTGCACCCTGGCTTGCAGCTACTCCAAAACATACAGTGCCAACTTTAGGCTTTATCTGAGAGCATTACAAGTCACCAATGGTTGCAGCATATAGAAGGAGGAGTCAGAGAAATAGAAAGATGGATGGATGGATCAAATTGTAATGCATTCATATTTTCTTGGGCATTTTTCATTTATTTAGACAGAAGATCACAATTAATTGTTTTTTACTGGACGCCACTTACTTCAATGCTCAAGTCATGATTTATTGACATAATTAGTTTTTAAAGTTAATTTCTTTTATTACTACCTCTTGGAAGATTGTAAGATCAGAATCCCATAATGATGTTGCTAATGTGCCAATTTGCAGTGATGAAAAAGAAAATAATAGTGATAGCAAAATTACCCAAGACATGCAATCATAGATTGCCAGAACAGAGTAAGTGCTTCCACCAGGACAGTTCAGATACATCTGCAAGCGTAAAAAAGGTCACAAGCACTTAAAATTTATGTATACAATTTAATTCCAAGCTCCTTAAACAGATTACAAGAGTTAGGTACAAAACTAATAAGCTAACATAACCACACCAGAATATCTGCTTTCTCGTCGATCGTTGCTAGAGTCACAAGCTGTGAAATAACTCGTTGAGCCACCTGCGAATTGATTGGCTGCCCAATAAAGATTATGCGATTCCTAAATAACACAGATGACAAATCCAAGGGTCCTCCTGGAGTCATCACTGCTGGCATAATGGGTGGATTGCTTCCCTTTGCTTCAACTGGGACATAACTGTATACCAAAATCATTACTTGAAGAATATGCATCAGCTAGAAGAAATGCTTCACTACCAAAACAACTTGATAATCATTATAAACAGTCTAATTAAATCTTCAAAAAAGAAAAACATTTATGGAGTATGGAAGGCATTTTAAAGTCAAAGGGGCAAAAGCAATAAACCTTTGTTTAGCATCACGGGAAGCCTTCTCGTTGATTCTTAGCAATAATCCTACATTGACAGAATTACAGATTTATAAAAAATTGGGTCTAACCAAAAACTCAAATTACCAAAATAGTCAAAACACATACAACATTACATTACAGGCATCTATACATAACTTAGCTAAAAGGGTCGTACCAAAACCATCCAATAACTCAACAAAACCATTTGGTAAAGAAATGTATAAGAGAAACAAGTACTAAAATATCAAGGGCATGGGTAAACCGATAAGATTGGAATCAGATTAAGGACAATGAATTCAATTTAAGCATGTTTCACCAACAATTAAGCTAAAAAAAAAAAAGAACTGGGTCAATCAAAAAATTCAAAATTAAGGACATAGAACTCAACTTAAGCATGTTTTAACAATAATCAAGCCAAAAAGCCGAACTGGGTCAATCCTTAAATTCATATAAAACTTACCACTTGTTGAAGACTCACTGTAGCGTTTAGGCAAGGCAGAAACCAGTGAGTTTCTTCTGCAAATAATTAAAGAAATGATGAGCTTAAGTTCTAAGAATAATTCGGATAGAAAAATAGCATGATGTTACCTTTGAGAGAATAAAGAAAGAGAGGGAGATTTGGTGCGAGAAGATATAGAGAAGCTGGCAGCAGGGGCAGAAATAACTGATGCTCCTGCCATTTCGAAGCTATAATTTCAAGAGAGTTTCTAAACGGAGAGACTGGGTTTTTTGATGGGGGATGGTAAAAGGCGCTTAGATTTTCGATAACAAGCTGAGAGGCACGGAACTTCTTTGCTTGCTCGTTGCTAATTAAATAATTTTTTTTTCTTATATTTTATTTTAAAGTAATGGAAAAACATGTTACTTTTTTTTAAAAAAAAAAAAAAAAACCCAACCTCTACTAAATTTTGGTCTATTTAAATATAGTCATTGAATTTCTAATTTCGAATTTTAGTTCTTCTGAATTTTATTTTTTAGAGATTAATCTATCTTTTATTTTTCTATAAAAAAATATTGGTCACATTAATTGTTTCATAAAAAAAATATTCCATAAGATTTATCTAAGACTTCTCAAAAAATTTCAGAGCATTCTGAATTATTTTTTAATTTTTTATACCTAAAAAATAAAAAATATTTTTTTTAATTTTGTAAAATTCTAAATAGATTGATTTTTTCTAACATATGTGTAAATTTTCATATCAAAATATCAAAAATTAAATTTTTTTAAATGAATGAGTGATAGCTAAAAATCATAAAATAAATTAAATCTAAAATTGGAAATTGAAATTTATAAATTGATTTTTAAATGAACTAAAATTGAAATGGTTTGACCCATTTGACCGAAAAAAAAATTAAATACATGAGAAAAAGGGGTTTTAAGAAATATTAATATGCATTTATAACTTTTTTTATAAGATTTACGTAGTACTCCTCTTTGTTCCAAGTGATGTAAGGGTAAGGAAAACTAGAAAAAGATTTTACTTGGTTTGGTATTAATTTTTTGTTTTCTAACAACTAGGGCATTCTCAAAACTAATTTTGTAATAATACCGTCCAAAAAACATACACTCGTTCATGCATACATTCATACTTATGAGTTACACGTATATACTTATACTTGCATATGACATGTTAGCGGGGTATTGGATAATAAGTATTTTGAATAATAGGAAGAAATAGGAGCTCAATTGACGTAATCTAAGTTGGGGACTAGAATAAAAACAAGCCAAAACTTTTAGGGACCAAAATGAATTTTGCTAAAATATCTTCACAATTTTATCAAAATAACACCTTTAGACTTACTTGACTCTTATCTCTTCTTATCCCATCTGGTTTTCCGTTTTGAGAGAGAGAAAGAGAGGAAAAATCCATTTCTTTGTCAAATTCGGATGATCAAGTCGAAAATCTAGGTAAGTTCATCTCCAGCTTTGTTTTCCACTCTTGATTTCGAGACTTTAGGGTCAGATATGAAGCAAGTTGTAAGAATTAAATTTGTTGGTTTGTGTCTTATCTAGCTCTCTGTGAAAGGATTTGGTATTTAGTGACGTATATTTCGAGTTATGATGGTTTGAACACATGTTGTTCTAGGTGACTCGATGCTTGGTAGATTAGTGTGCAAACTTTAAAAATATGGTATTCTTTGGGTGTTTAATATTTAGATCTGATTTTTAGATATGTTTTAGATTGATATGTCTAGTTCTTTTTTTTAAAAAATAATTAGGTCTTGATCATGTCCCAATCTAGAGTTATTGTTGTTTGTTTGGAGACTGCTCGGTAACGAGGGTGCTGAAAACTAATTAGAGTTTGAAAATCTAGAATAAATCTTGTATATGAAATATTGGGCTGAGTTTTGGATATGTTAGATCCCTTTGAGTCTAGTTTCATATGAAACTAGAATTTCGTCATTTGACCTTGTATTTTAGGATTTATGGGAGAAAGAGTATAAAGGGGTCAAGTACCCATAAAGGAATAAGTTAACCCTAAAGTCATATTTTGTACCTTGAACATATTTAGAAGTTTGATCATGATAAAATGACTTATAAAAGTATATATGTATGTGTTTATAGACGTCGAGGAGCGTGAGGTGCAAGACGTAAAACTTTGACGAGTGACGAAGTCGTCATTTTTGTGAGTTGAATAATAATAGTTGTGTCATGATGTGTTATTGCTATTGAGTGCTAATATTATACTTATTGATATTGATATTATGATGTGAATGATGTGCCGTTTGCTAGTCGACGCAAATGTTATGTTTATTGATGTTATAACAATATTATATTTATTGATATTGATGTATGATATGAATGATGTGTCATTTGCTAGTTGACGCAAACGTTATGTTTATTGATGTTATAATGGATATGTACCATGATGTAAGCCATGGATATTATATATGCTATACGTGAAACATTCATGATACATGTAAGATTAAGAGGTTAAGGCTATGACTCGGTTTGTCCAAGTTTCATAAATACAAGTTTACAAAGACCCAATGGGTCAACTACAAGTTATAAAAGTCGGCCAACAATACATGTGTACAAATTTATAAGTTACAAGTACCCGGGTGAAATTTGACATGTCTAAGTCATAACCGATAAGAAAAAGAAAAGCATGTAATCTTAGAGTCATATGAACTGCATGTATTATTTATATGTGATGATACTTGGATGACGTGATTGCATGTTATAGTTTCAATGGATTATTATTCTCTCATTGAGTAGTATCTCATTAAAAATGCAATTATCTTTTTAGGTGCTAAGAAGCAAGAAGTGGAAGTTAAGTCATTTTTTGTTGTCCAACTCACGTCATGAGTGACGAGTCGGCTGTCGATCTCCCTATCCTCTCTCTCATTATGCCGAGCATATGCATCCTATGAGATTTTTAAATTGTATATGTAAATGTATAAATATGAACTCCTGGATGTGTTTTGTGACGTGTTTATGAACAAAGAAAAAGTGGTTTTGATTGAACATCCAAGGATTATAAGTGGAAAGAATGGTTTTATTAATTTTTGAAGTGTTATGGCCGAAAAACCCTTGTTTTAGGCGAAACATACATGGGAAGGTACACGGACGTGTGGGAGGTCGTGTAACCTTCGTTTTCAAGGAAAAGTGAGATTTTAACTTACATGGGCAAGTACATGGCCGTGTGGGAGGCCATGTAATCTCGCTGTCCGTAAAAAAAAAAAAAAATTCCTAATCTTTCTAATATGAGGGTTTAATAGTCCTAAGTGATATTTGGTGATTAAATGAGTTTTCTATAACTAAAATTGTTAAGTTATACAAAGTTTTTGTAAGAAATTAGGTTAAGATCGTTACAAATTTACACTAAATTTATTTTTAATTGAATTTAGAACATCTAACTCGTACTCAAAAGAGATGATAAATTATAAATAAATTCATTTACTCGTCTAAGTCACCATCTAAGGTTGGTTGATAAATTTTTGTTTTCGTATTAAATTTGATGCCAATAGGCTTGTAGGTGTTGTTCGGTAATAAATAATCGAATAGTGAGAATAGGAATAAAAATTTTATTTTCGCTTTATAAGAATTTGGTTGAAAGAAATAAACCACAAATAAAAATGAAAATTAAACATAATTTATATTAATGAGTAATGATGAATATTATTTGATTTAAATCGAAAAACTAAACCGAAGTATCAATTTCAATTTGGTTTTCAACTCAATTTTTTTTTTCAAAAAAATGAACCGATAGTTTTTTGGTTTTTCAATTTGGTTTAAATGAAACAAAACTATTTGCTGAATTTTTTATTGATTATTTTTTAAGCTTTTAAAATAATGCAAATAAACCAAAAAAAAATCAATACATTAACATTGTTATAGATATATGATGGATTGATGATTTTTTTTCTTATCTATTTATATTATTTTAAAATTTTTAAAAATCGAGTTTAAAATAAAACTAAAATTTCAATTTTTAAACTCGAAAAACCAAATAATAAGTTGGTTCGAGTTCGATTTTTATTCTTGTGGATTTGGTTAACCAAAAATCTAATTGAAATTGTTAAAAACCAAACTAAGAAACGAAACAATCAATGTTACCTAGAGAGGAGGTGGGAATAAAGAGAAAAATATGAATGAGATACTTTTCTTAAAATTAATGATATATTATTTTTATTTATTATGTATCAATAATTTTTACAACCATGCCATTTTCACCATTAAAACCACCACCCCTTCCCATTGGCAGCGTTGATAAAAAAAAATCAATTTTTTTTATTATTACCATGATTTTGCATTCCCCGCTACCACTATTGTCATCGTTTTTATTATACCACTATTTTTCTTCTATTAACACCTCCTATAATGGTGGCATTATTTTTTTAAAAAATATTGCTATTAATATACTATAAATCAACTATTACCACTATTACAACTTCGTCTTCGTCTTCCTCTTCCTTCGCAACCACTATTGTAATCACTCTTATCATTTTTACTACTATCATAATTGATAAAATTATATTTTTAATCCTTATTTTTATTCGTTTTAAAAACCAAATATTAAAAATTTTAAATTTCAATTTGATTCTATGTTTTTATTTCGGATTTTTCATTTTTTATAACCAAACCACGTTTTAATGCCGACAAGATCCAGAGAAAATTGGTCCATAAAAATTCGGCATTCATAGATTCGTAGCCACTTTTCGACTCGATCCAACTATTAGCTATGAAGATCCATTTTCAAAAAATTACCAAGCAATGAGAATTTTATGATGCACACCCGCCACTAGTTGTTAGAGATCTTAGGAATGTTAGATAATAAGTTAAGCGTACTATGAAGGAAATTTGAAAGTGTTTTCAAGTGGGATGTGGGATAGCTATGAAGGAATTGGAGGGAAAGCTAGGATAATTGGTTGGAATTATATATATTTAAATAATCAAATACTAGCACTTAGCACTTTGCACGTACGCGTGTGTGATTAAGAAATTTATTTTTATTTCTTAATGTAATTAAATTCGTAATTATTTAATTAATTACGTTTTTAATTTTTGTCACAGACTAATTAGTTATTAACAGACTTTCAAACCTTATGATCGTTAGAATCTAACGATTATGTACGTTAGGATCTAACAATTATGATCGTTAGAGTCTAACGATTATGACTCGTAGGATTATGACTGTTAGAATCAATAGTCATGTTTGTTATGAAAGGGTATCAG